TTCTTATAGTGAAGTCAAGTTGCTAACATTTTCTAATCCAGATGATTCAAAACAGCTTTTCTTTGTCTTAATTAAACACAAGGGAATGCCCAGTCCAGAAAATTCTGCCAATGAAATGGCCTAAAAGGATGTCTCCCTTCCCCCACATTTGTAAACATACACACATACACACACATAATGACCGTGTGCAGGGACACATGTGGCTCCGGGGAGGAGCACATTCTCAGCTGGTGGTAATGAGGAGCCCCACTTTCTCCTGCTGGATGGGGATGTGAGTACTGACTAGGCTCCAGGGAGAGGCCTCAGGCTGTGTAGTCCCCACACCCCCATGCCAGATGCCAGAGGTGGAGAGGAAGACCCTGGAGACATGAGAGTGCCTGCTCGTGGGGTGGGTGGAGGTACGGACAGAATTACTATACCCTAGAGGGATGCATTCCTGCCCGGAGGGATGCACAGATGTCTGGAAAAGAAAGGGGCACCTGTCCTGGTGAGTCAGTTTGCACTTGAGGAGGCTGCAGCAAGCCAAGAGGGAAAGGAGAGGAATGCAGGGAGAAGTGCGCTGCCCTAACTGGCATGCCGGAGGTCCTAGCTCTGGATCCGATGTATTTTTGGTCACGGGTATGTGTGTGTGCTTAATCACTTCAGTTGTGTTCGACTCTGTGCAACCCTATGGACCACTGTCCACCAGGCTTCTCTGTCCATGGGATTCTCCAGGCAAGCATACTGGAGTGGGTTGCCATTTCCTCCTCCAGGGGATCTTCCTGACCCAGGGATGGAATCCGCATCTCTTTTGGTCTCCTGCCTGGCTAGGCAGGTTTTTTTTGTTTTTTTTTGTTTGTTTGTTTATTTGTTTTTTACCACTAGCGCCACCTGGGAAGGCAATTCTCCTTTATACCAACTGATTTTATTTGTATATTTTTATTATACAGTACAGTAATCTAAGTCCATGGTCCTGACCACTGAGGCTGAAGTTGACTGGTTCTATGAAGACCTACAACACTTTCTAGCATACCAAAAAATAAACAGATGTCCTTTTCATCATAGGGGATTGGAATGCAAAAGTAGAAAGTCAAGAGATACCTGGAGTAACTGGCAAATTTGGCCTTGAAGTACAAAATGAAGCAGGGTAAAGGCTAACAGAGTTTTGTCAAGAGAACACACTGGTCATAGCAAATAGTCTCTTTCACTAACACAAGAGATGACTCTACACATGAACATCACCAGATGGCCAATACTGAAATCAGAATGATTATATTTCTTGCAGCCAAAGATGAAGACGCTCTATACAGTTAGTAAAATCAAGATCTGAAACTGACTGTGGCTCAGACCATGAACTCCTTATTGCAAAATTCAGGCTTAAATTGAAGAAAGCAGGGGAAACCACTACACCATTCAGGTATGACCTAAATCAAATTCCTTATTCAGTGGAGGTGATGAATAGATTCAAGGGATTAGATCTGGTAGGCAGAGTACCTGAAGAACTATGAATGGAGGTTCATAACACTGTACAGAAGCCAGTGACAAAGACCATCCCCAAGAGAAAGAAGCGCAAGAAGGCAAAGTGGTTGTGAGAGGGGGCTTTCCATATAGCTTGGGAAAGAGGAGAAGTGAAAGACAAGGGAGAAAGAAAAAGATACACCCAACTGAATGTAGAGTCCCAGAGAATATCAAGGAGAGATAAGAAGGCCTTCTTAAATCAACAATGCAAAGAAATAGAGGAAAACAACAGAATGGGAAAGACTAGAGAGCTCTTCAAGAAAACTGGAGATATCAAGGGAACATTTCATGCAAGGATGGGCACAATAAAGGACAGAAACGGTAAGGACCTAACAGAAGCACAAGAGATTAAGAAGAGGCGGCAAGAACACACAGAAGAACTAAAGAAAGGTGTTGGTGACCTGGATAACCACAATGGTGTGGTCACTCACCGAAAGCCAGACACCCTGAAGTGTGCAGTCAAGCGGGCCTTAAGAAGCATTACTACGAATAAAGCTAGTGCAGGTGATAGAATTCTAGTTGAGTGATTTCAAATCCTAAAAGATGATGCTCTTCAAGTGCTGCACTCAATATGTCAGCAAATTTGGAAAACTCAGCAGTGGCCACAGAACTGGAAAAGGTCAGTTTTCATTCCAGTCCCAAAGAAGGGCAAGGCCAAAGAATGCTCCAACTACTGTATAACTGTGCTCGTCTCACAGCAAGGTCATGCTCAAAATGCTTCAAGTTGGGCTTCGGCAGTATATGAACCAAGAACTTCTAGACGTACCAGCTGGGTTTAGAAAAGGCAGAGGAACCAGAAATCAAATCGCCGACATTCATTGGATCATGGAGAAAGCAAGGGAGTTCCAGAAAAATAACTACTTTTGCTTCACTGACTATACTAAATCCACTGACTGTGTGGATCACAACAAACTGTAGCAAGTTCTTAAAGAAATAGGAGTACCAAGCCACCATACCTGTCTCCTGAGAAGCCTGTATGCAGGTCAAGAAGCAATGTTTAGAACTAGACACAGAACAACAGACTGGTTCAAAGTTGGGAAAGGAGTGCAACATGGCTGTATATTGTCATCCTGCTTATTTAACTTCTATGTAGAATACATCCTGTGAAATGCTGGACTGGACGACTCACACGCTGGAATCAAGGTTTCTGGAAGAAATATCAATAACCTCAAGTATTCAGATGATACCACTCTAATGGCAGAAAATGAAGAGGAACTAAAGAGCAGTGAGCAAACTCTGGGGAATAGATAGATAGCATCATTGGACTCAATGGACTCAATAGACATGAACATGAGAAGACTGTGGGAGATACTGAAGGACAGGAAGCCTGCAGTCCATCGGGTCACAAAGAGTTAGATACAATTTAGTGACTGAGCAACAATAATTGCATATAAACACATTTCTACACTTATTTCTAAATTTATAAATTATATATAAATGTATGTTCACATGTACAGTTGCCCTTGTATATTTTACATCTGCAGATTCAGTCAACTATAGGTGGTACACTGTATCCACGAATACAAGGACCAAGTATGTGACCTGACCATCTGTGGACTTTGGTATCTGGGGCAGGTCCTGGATTCAATCTTCCGCAGATACTGAGGGACAACTATATACTTATGAAAGAATTTTCTAAAACAAAACAAGAATTCTACAAGCTTTTATGTAAAAATAAAAGCAGAGTACCTCAAGAGAAGAATGCTTGAGAATTTGAGGTATATTTTCATCACAGAATATTATACTACCAATAAAAAGAATAAAATAAGTGTATAGAGTTTTTACTATGTATTGTTAAATGAAAAAAGAAACGTGCATAGCATATTCCATTTTTGAAAACCTATGGGTGCATTAAAAGGCACTGAGCACATGTGTTGTGTGGACCAGGAGGAGAAACGAGGAGGAAAGAGGGTGATGCAAAATAAGCAAAAGCAGCTGTTAGAATGAAGAAGTTCTTGATCAAAAGCAAAAATTATATGTATGTAAGTATATATAATACATACGCATGTAAAATGCATGGAAGAATGGTTATTAAAAGTTGGAGGTATTTTACTTCAGGGTGAAAATAATTCAGGTGATTTTTCCACTCTTACTTTTTGCATTTTAACAAGAAATATAATTATATAACGAAAATAACCATTTTCATTGAGGGAAAGTTTGAATAACTCAATAACACTATCAGCATGAAAATGTTTCTTATTTAAGTCTTCCTGGCCAAAAGATGGCACATCCAGTAGAATATTTAATCATTCATAACAGAAGGAGGTTTTCACAGTCTTTTTCAAAATGGAGACAGACCACAAAGTCCAAAATTAATAATCATCATCAACACTTTAAGCATCTTAAAGGCAGGAGATAAAACTAATTTTTAACATGCTTTCCTGAAGGCTTCAAGCACTCAGTCCTTGAGCAATCCCTATTAATTGACAAGCACATTTCAAACCTCATAAATTATTACATCAAAGATACTATTAACTGATATTCAAATGTTATTAAAGAGTACAGTCTCATCTAAAGAATGGAGACCTGAGGCAGCTCCAATGAAAGTAATTCGACTATGAGATTTAATCTGCTACAAAAGTAATAAAACTGTAACACATAACACATTTTTTCTTCCTGCCCTGGTCATTCTAAATGTACCTGGCTTTGCTACCATCATTCCTGTAGTCTCTGGCCTATGTGTTGTCTACATATCCCCTCAATGGCTGTTCACTCAGTGTCATTAACTTCTGATCTTAACTGCAGATAAAAGATGCGTGACAGGAGCTACCAATCATTGTGAACAATCTCCAGCCTAGACCCGGCTTCAAAACTCTCAAGAGTTAGAGGCTTCCCCGGTGGCTCAGTGGTAGAGAATCCACCTGTTAATGTAGGAGACATGGGTTCAATCCCTGATTCGGGAGGACCCCACATGCCACAGAGCAACTAGGCCCGTGTGTGCGCTGCAACTAGAGCCTGTGCTCTAGAGCCCTGGAACCACAACCATTGTTCCCTCGTGCCCTAGAGCTCATGTTCTGCAACATGAGAGACCTCTGCAATGAAGAGTAGCCCCCACACGTCACAACTAGAGAAAAGCCCACGCAGCAACCAAGACCGAGCAGTCAAAAATAACAACAAATAAACAAAATTATAAAAAAGAATCTCTAAAAGTTCAAACTCTGCCTGTCAAAATTCTGATTATAATATGCAGTTGAAGAGGTGCTAAGTATTCATTCTTCAGGCCTGCTCTCTCTGCAGGGTAGCAGCAACAGTTGTCCACGTGCAGGAGACCTGCTCCAACATGTGGACAACTGCATGTAAAAAGCCACAGAATAGCTTCTCCAGAGGAAACAGGCACACAGGGCGGAGGTGGGGCTGGGACTGCCGCCCTGAGTCCTGAGGCCAAGCACTCGCCCCTGGGGGTGGATGACAGCCCACAAGTTACACCCACCTGGCAACTCAGTGATATTAGATAACAAGAAAATTAATTTTACAAGTCTAACATTTTCAAGTAAAATACTTACTTGGACTAACAAGTGGCCTGAATTAGGCAAACATGTCCCAGATTCCTTGGTGTTCTCGTTTACTTGCACTATCAGATTCATCAATATTTCAACGGCACCTTTGCCGATCATTTCATGAAGAAATTCTGGATTTCCAGAAATGAATTTGATGGTCCCCATGCAGTACAGGAAAGCTTCGGTGTTAGCTTGCAGGTCTTCACTTCTCAGGACCTCCAATAATGATTCTGTCAAAAAGATGAATTATTACAAATGTATGCGGAGAACTGCTGGAGAGAGAGAGTTAAAGCACTTGGGTGTGAACATCAAATACGATTCGTAAAATGTGAGCCAGGATCCACATTCAAATGTTTGTTAAGAGTTACTAATAAGGCATAAAGAGGAAAGCTTATGAGACAAATCTCTGTAACATCAGTGACAGCAAAAGATGGGATTATTAATATGTAAATAAGAAAGTGTTCTTTTAACTGAATGCCATTCCTAGCCTCTTATTAATATTGGCTAACCTTTATTTTCGGTTACAGTTTATTACAGAATAACTAATAATTAAAGTAATTTAAGAGTTATATTTCAACAAACCTTTAAGAATATACTGGCTGTTGTGTGAATAGGAAGTTAATCAAGATAGGAACTTTAAAAAATATCTCAACCATAGAAAAGGATGCTTCAAATATAACATCTGCCCTTCCCTAAGACAACTTAAGAACATCCATCCAAATAACATACAAGTACTAGCTTTTAGGATAATCCAGACAGCTCTGGTAAGGTTAATTATGCCTATCTCACGTTAATTTTTCTTAGTCAGTGAGATTATCTGTCAGAATCTTTATTTTTAATCTATTATTCTCCACAAGCTGATTCAGCATTATACATTTCTTTCAGTACTGGCTTTGTCCCTGTGTGCTGGGATTAAAAAAAAAAAAAGATCATTTATCCTTAACAGAGGATTTAGAGTATTTTCCATGTTGTTGCCTTAGATCAACAGTACTAATTCATAAAAGATTTCTGTTTAGGTAACTATTTAAGCATCTTAATTATTTAAGGATACATAAAGAGTTACACATTGTTAGCTAGGTAGTTAGGATGTATTACAATGCCTAGCCACATATTTGAAACATTTGACACACTTTGATGTCAATTTTCTACAACAGTTACATATGTCTTCCAAGTTAATTATCCCTACCATATCAAAAGATCAAAAATGTCAGTTATGTCAAGTGCTATTAAATGTAATTTTTCAGTAGATCCAAGACCAGGAAATAAATTTTTAAATAGGAAACACTTTGTAAAAGTTACATATTGTTACTACAGGTATTTAAAAAAACAGCAGGGTATCCTCCTAGGCTCCAAAGGATACATTAAGTGAAACATGGAAAACACAGAGAAGGACAGAGAAAAAACAGGCATTACCTAACTTCTGCATATGATAAGAAAATAAAATATTCCAGCTACCATTAATTATAACTTTGCTCTCCAAACTTTTCATTCATATTCAAGTGTAACATTTGCTGAATCGTCCTACTGAATAATACTCACCCAGAATGCTGTCATTTCGAATCAGAGAATCATTCTTCTCACTTCTGCTAATTTTAAATATAAGTTTGCAAACATTAAGAAGATTCTTTCCACTCACTTTAAGCTGTAGAGAAAGAAGTCACATTACCATTGGAGAAGGAAATAAAGACAAACACTGTAATTTTTCAACATGAACATCTAATTTAGAAAGTGCAGCAAGAATGTATCTAAAACATAAAAAGAAGGGTCTAAAGAAACCAACTCTCAAAAGTTTTGGCCACATATTTGCCAACTATGGTATCTAATTAACTCACTTTATAGTAAATACAATATAAATGATATTTAGAGTAAGCACATTTTAATGATAAGCATTTATTTCTTATTTCATAAAGCCTCATGCTTATATGTGAAATTATTACTTTTTAAAGAATATTTGAAGAAAAAGAAAGGGCCGATGTTGATAAATTTAATTAAATGGAGTAACTACTTTTCAAAATAAAGGAAGATGAATACTAAAATTTCAGATTAAACTAACCTAGAAAAGAACACATCATGGAGGTGGAGGAGAGAAAAGGGGAAAAGTACAATTCTATTTATCATTTGTATAAAATAAAATGAAAAAGTAATACTTTTGATTAGATAATACATATGTATTTATTATTTAAGCCTATTTCTGAAATGCCTTGAGATAATCACAAGTAACATTCAAAGGTTAAAACTACCTTCTAAATCACAGAAAAATATTCAAGTAAATTAAGCAATAAGGAAGTATACTCTTAAAAAAAAAATAGTCTAGGAGGACTGAGTCAAATGGTCTAAATGAGCTGCATACTTACGTAAAGTAGTAAAAATTAAAATTAAAAATCCTAAATGTCCACTATTTGGGAACAGTTTAATAAACTGTGGAACATCAATACAATTCATGTTAAGCAGTCACAAAAGTATAACTGAACACTATGCATAAAAAGACATCTATAATCTACTGTAAGATGGAAATACTGTATGCTTTCATTGCAAGAATGTAAAATATGTTTGTAGGATGAGGTCATACGAACAAATATATCTGTGTGAAAAATTTGACATACGGTTCATTATTTTGTCATTAAAAAGTATCCTTAAAATTATCTTCAATACTGTTTACTAATGAGTCTTCACTTAGTAAAAAAGACAAAGATAATGGAATTTGTCACACATATTTTTGAAAGATTCATTCTGTGTTTGACTCACAAATATGAATGAGCTCTTGCTGCCTACAGGCACTGTGCTGTTCCCTGTCGTTCAGTCACTAAGTCATGTCCGACTCTTTGCGACCCCATGGACTGTAGCCCACCAGGCTCCTCTTCCATGGGATTCTCCAGGCAACAATACTGGAGTGGGTTGCCATTTCCTTCTCCAGCTGTTCCCTGTAGGAAATATCAAGGGGAGTGTGGTCGGCCCTGAGCTGGAGAGGAAGGGAGAGGTGAGTACTGTCCATGAAGCATTATCCATTATCTGTCTGACCCCTGCTCTGGCCCTTTTCATGACATCTCATAGCTAACCCTGCAGCTTAGGTTTACTTGTCCCATTTTGCAGCTGCGGAGTCTGCTCCTCAGACGGGTCATGTCATCTCATCTTGGTATCAGCTGAGTATGTATTAGAGATGCATAATCTCAGGTCCCAGAAGCCCTGCTGAACCAGAATGTGCCTCTTACAACTTTGCCAGGGGACTGAGTGCACATTCAAGTCTGAGAAGCTCTGTTGTGGGAGCCGCATAAATAGTCACACGGGCAGAATGGAAATTTCCTCTGTTCTCAGGATGAAAAGAGGAAATGGAAACTTAAAAAAAAATTTTTTTTTTTTTAATGATTAGTATTTTTAAATTGTTGTTTAAAAACCCAGAAAAAAAAAAGTGACTAGAGAGAAAAAAAAAATCTGTATCAAGGGAAATATATTGCCCTTTATATCTGGCAATATAATCTGCTGGGAATCTTCCACTACATTATGAGCCTTTGAGGTCAAAACCATGGTTTATTACTCCTTCTGTGTGTGGAAGGTACCCTGTGCTATGTATTCAATCAAATTTGTGGAATAAATGAATGAATACAACTAACCTCACTTCCAAGTCTTACATTTTTAGTGAAAAGTGGCAGAAGACATATAAACAAAAACACCTAGTGTCAGAGTCTTCATTAAAAAAAAAAAAAAAATCCCAACGAACTACCATTTCCAGGCCTGCTGTGAGGTCAGTTTACATTCAAAGCAGATTACTATACCTTCTCTTTTGGTAACTGTAAAATAGTGACTTTGAGACACAAAAAAGACTGTAAAACATTGTATGTGAGGAATGTAGACTAATCTGAGTAAAACAACGCTTCCTCCCAAAGCGGGCCATTCCCTTCACTCTGCTTTATTTTCTTCTCACAGTGCCCATCAGCCTCATTGGCACGTTAAGTGTTTACTCTCTCTTTCTGCTGCTACATGGCCAGCCTGGAAGGCAGGGGTTGTTTTATTCACTTTTATTCCCAGTGTCAAGAATCCCTCGTACCAAGTGGGTTCCTGCAGTAGGGTAGTTTACTTTTATGTTAAACATAGTAGTTTACTTGATTTAAAGCAAATTTGGAGAATTAAAGAAAAGGGAAGTTTAAAAATCACTCATAACACTGCCACTATATATAATCACTGCTGACTTTTCTGTTTTTCCCCTTGTATAGGGTGCTAGATTGTCTTCCTTTTCTGAATATAGTTGCATTCACATATTACATATATGTCTGTACTCTTTGAAAAAAAAAGTCATAAAATAGGCAGATACATTTTTGTAAGTTTTTCCGGTACAAAAGTTAAAATGACAACGGCTGTCTGGCAAAGCTCCACTTAACCAAAAATGCAAGAAACCTGAACTAACATTATACTCACTGGATTTTTTAAACCTGCAAATAACTAAATGTTTGAATTATAATAGTCAACTGGTAGATAAAGTCAATATTAGCAGAAAGAAGAGGCTATTACAAAATTTTAGTACTATTTATCTTCAGCTTTTTTGTCAATTTGTTTCTTTCAATAGCTTTTTATGATGTCTTTTAAAAAAAAATTTACATAGAACCCCATCACCAAGGTCTAAGGAAAGCAATGTCTTGCCCCCTGCATTACAGAAGATTCTGGTGGCAGATGGGAAGCTGGACTTGTTGGCCTTGCAGGTTGTTCCTGACCTTGAGGTTCCACAGTCAAGCAGAAGGGACAGCCTGCCCACCCCTGCACTCTGGACTGTAGCCTGGAGGAGCCTTGCCCCGGATTCAGCAAGGCGGTCAGTGTCACGGAAAGGGCTTCATCTAAACATGTTTCATTCAGAATCTGTTCACTGCCTAGCAGATCACTTATCCTATTGCCCTAAAATAGTCAAATTGTGCCATGTATATAATTAATTTGAATGGCACCTTTAATAACCAAGATGATATTTTCTCTGCAGAGTATTAACAAATGCATGGCATTTTCCTTCTTTCTTTCACTATTTATTTTTGGCTTGCTACAGAGCACAATGTCTCAGATCCTGATAAGAGACCAAGGCAGTCCCTGGGCAGCTGGCTGCTTGGGTCCTGCCCAGAGCAGTGATACCAAGAGAGCCTTCCAGTCTCATACTGGGGCTCTCCCGGGCCAGGGGGGGGCCCAAATCCAGGGCCAGAGAAGAAACTGGGCAGCATGCAGTCACCTTTTCATCTCTACTCATAACTTCTGACTGTACATCTTCCCGGTGCCTTTTCTTTCTCACTAAAGCTGACTGATCAATTATCACCAATGAGAGGGGATTAAACTACTACTAAGATCACTATTTCAAACAAATGTTGCTTTCTGCATCACATACAATATCACCGTGTTTGCAAAGAGGGTGAACAGTTTAGCATGGCAGCTAAATAAGAATGTACCCCCTCCAAAACTGCAGAGAATATGTAAAGACTTTATGAAAGACTTCGAAATAAGGAACTCACTAAACCATCACTAAGTATACCAATGCTCACCTTCACTGTGTACTCTAAGATTTTAAATTATATAATTATGGGTTTTTAACATAATAGCTTTTATTTTTCTGAAACCAGGTAAACAAAGCTTCATTCATTCGTTTTAGCGGCTCTCTTAGAACATTCTATAATAATTGTGTCTTATCTTTTGGTTCCAACTGTTTATGGCTGTGACCACAAAGGGCTGCAAACAATGCTATCACTTTGTTTGAGACAGAGTTTCTATAGAGTTTTATTTGGTGTCTGGCCTCTTCTCTAACACCTCACAGAAGCTTTCTATGACCACCTTTCTGTGACCACAAGGCAGCTGGTTCTCTGTTTCACCCGGCCTCATAAAGCACCTGGCCACTATGTCCACAGCCCAAGTGATCTGAAGTTATTTATTAAACCATGTGACAGAACCATCAAACACCCAACAGAAACCATAGGGCAGAAACCACAGTCTGCACTCTCTGATACTGATCTCTAGTCAAGTTACTTGAGTTTCTGTTTTGAATGTGTTTGCCTATTGTCACCTTTTTTTTTTTTTAGAAAAAAAAAAACATTGCCACAATCCACGTGTGAGCGTTTATTTGTTTGAACATTTTCTCTGCACTCAGCCTTATTTCCTTCGTACTTTCTGGTCAAAGTCTGGGATGTCAGTTCACCACCTCAATTTTGTTTTCAAGATTCTAAACGAACACACTGCATTTCTAATCTTCTTTGTAAGGTTTTACAAACAAAGCATTTAACAGAACTTGTATGTGTTACAGTCTACAAGACCAGAGAAGAGAAAAACTTACTGCTAGAATAATTTTTGCAAGTTTAAGGCTCAGCAAGTCCGAGCCAACATCAACTAGTTTATATAGCGTCTTCAGGAGAATACTTCTTCTCTTAAATTTATTTCCAAGCATGTTTCCTTCCTCTAAAGCATGATGAAGTTGTGTGCAAGCAGCACAGACCATTTCAATGTTTTCTTCTGTTGGGGCAAAGAGAGTAAAGCAGAACTTACTCACTGAGGTCAAGTTTTCTCAAACACAGTGTACGCAAAACCCCATAATTACCTCCCTGAACATCTTCAAATTCCTAAACTATGTTGTTTTCTTCCCCTTTTCATTTCCATCTATCTGATTTTTTTTCTATTTTGTTGTTCCACTTCCTAGCACGTTGACTTCTTCACTAATCAGTTAGCTTATCTAGAACACACAGTCTTTCAGAGAGTGTACCGAGGAGGGGAACTCCCGATTTCACCGGCTCTCCTTTATTCCTGCTGCCCGCCACCCACCAGGGCTCTGCTCAGGGCCCTGGAAGCTTCTGCCTTGCATCTCCACCTTCACCCCTCTGTCACACAGTTCCAAGGGTCCAGAATGTTCTCCTTACCTTCATCCCTACTGATTTTGGTCCTTCAAGGCCCTGTGTATATTCTGGCTCCTCCAGAAAAGGTATAGAATGCTACATTCAACAAATACTATTATTTTTCACACATGTATGTATGCTGTTTATTTCTCATGCTAGTAAGGTTATGCTCAAAATCCTTCAAGCTAGGCTTCAGCAGTATGTGAACCGAGAACTTCCAGATGTACAAGATGGGTTTAGAAAAGACAGAAGAACCAGAGATCAAATTGCCAACATTTGTTGGATCACAGAGAAAGCAAGGGAATTCTACTTCTGCTTCATTGACTACATAAAGCCTTTGACTGTGTGAAAAATTATTAAAGAGATGGGAATATCAGGCCATCTTACCTGTCTCCTGAAAAACCTGTAGGTGGGTCAAGAAGCAACAGGTAGAACTGGACATGGAACAACTGACAGGTTCAAAATTGGGAAAGGAGTACATCAAGGCTGTATTTATCACCCTGCTTATTTAACTTACATGCGGAGTAATTATGTGAAATGCTGGACTGGATGAATCACAAGCTGGAATCAAGATTGCTGGCAGAAATATTAACAACCTCAGATATGCAGATGATACCACTCTAATGCCAGAAAGCGAAGTGGACCTAAAGAGCGTCTTGGTGAAGGTGAAAGAGGAGAGTGAAAAAGCTGGCTGAAAACTCAACATTCAAAAAATTAAGATCATGGCATCAGGTCCCACCGCTTCATGTAAAATAGATGGGGGAAAAGTGGAAATAGTGACAGATTTTATTTTCTTGGGCTCCTAAATCACTGCAGATGGTGATCATAGCCATGAAATTAAAAGATGCTTGCTCCCTGGAAGAAAAGCTATGACAAACTTAGACAGCATATTAAAAAGCAGAGGTATCACTTTGTTGACAAAGGTCCTTACAGTCAAAGTTTGGTTTTTCCAGTAGTCATGTATGGATGTGAGAGTTGGACCCTAAAGAAGGCTGAACACCAAAGAATTGGTGCTTTTGAATTGTGGTGCTGGAGAAGACTCTTGAGAGTCCCTTAGACTACAAGATCACATCAGTCAATCCTAAAGGAAATAAACCCTGAATATTCATTGGAAGGACTGATGCTGAAGCTGAAGTTCCAATACTTTGGCCACCTGATTCAAAGAGCTGACTCACTGGAAGAGATCCTGATGCTGGGAAAGACTGAAGGCAAAAGGATAAGCGAGCAGCAGAGGATGAGATGGTTAGATAGCATCACCAATTCAATGGACATGAATCTGAGCAAACTCTGGGAGACAGTGAAGGATAGGGAATCCTGATGTGCTATGTAGTACATGGGGTCACAAAGAGTCAGATATGACCTAGCAACTGAACAACAAAAACAAATGCATGCTCTGTTACATGCCCAGTGCCCTCAAAGAGATATGCTGAGTAGGAACCGTGTCTTAGATATCTTTGTACTGACAGTGCACAGTACAGGGAGAATACTGTATTGACAGCCTGTAACACAGTTTAACGCAGATTCACTTTCTATTAATAATATGCCTATTGATGAAAACAATGATCAATATCTTCCTATGAGAACAATGCTCATTATCTGAGAAAAGAAGACGCAAGTGGAACAAAATCTCAAAATGTCACCATGTCCACCATTATTTGGAGGTGAGTATCAGCAACTTAAATTAAATGAAAGTTGCTCAGTCATGCCCAACTCTTTGTGACCCCATGGACTATACAGTAAGGCCATGGAATTCTCCAGGCCAGAATACCGGAGTGGGTAGTCTTTCTCTTCTTCAGGGGATCTTCCCAACCCAGGGATCCAACCCAGGTCTTCCACATTGCAGGCAGATTCTTTATGAGCTGAACCACAAGGGAAGCCCAAGAATACTGGAGTGAATAGCCTATCCCTTCTCCAGGGGATCTTCCCGACCCAGGAATCGTACCAGGGTCTCCGGCACTGCAGGCAGATTCTTTACCAACTGAGCTATCAAGGAAGCCCCAAGTATTAGCAAAGAAGATAATAAAAAGTAGACTTTAGCTAGGAAGCAGGGGAGCACTTCATTTTATAATAGAATGCTGAGGAAAACAATTTTTGAAAGTGGTAGCTATACCAAAAGTCATACATGGAAGAAAAATAGCACACAAAATAGAACATGAGGGGAAATGTAAGGATCCCAGGTATAAGACATTCAGTTGAAAAATATTATCTCTGATAGATTTCGTCACAAAATTTAAAAGTAGGAAACCAATCTTAAATAAATACCATAATGTGCTCTTGAAAGCCCGCATAGAGGAAGTGTGCGCCTGCAGAAGGAAATGACTCAGGCCATTTTTAGCTCTTTTCAACAATAACATCTAAGAAAAAATTTTAAACCTCAATAGCTAAGTAACCTTCCATGCCTTTCAGTTAAGCACTTAAATAAAATGAATTGATGGGAAATGACTGAGACTAACTTTAAATAAAAGGAAAAAAACTGAGCTCTATTGTAAGAAAAATACTTTTGTTTTGTTGTTTCATTCTTCTGTTACTGGCAGTTTCTTCACAAACCCCAAGTCCAGGCTGCAGGCTACCCTGTGGCAGGGGGTAGATGTCAAGGTATTTTTCCAATACCTCCCTCCATACACTCTTCAGCCTGCTGGGTTCTACTCAAGAGTAGCTGTTTTAGCTTAAAAGAAATTAAAAAAGAAGGCTCCAGGGTCAAATTCTAAACTACTACTAAAAATATTTCTTTCTACCGGTGGGTTTGTTATAACTGCCAGGTAGCCTCAAAAAGACAGCTTGAACCTAAAAGCAATCAAGATCCTCAAGGGACTAAAGCTAGTGGGTGAAAGTCTGATGAGCAATAGAAAGCAAGGTAGACTCCGCAGTAACTTCTCCCCATAAGAGACCTATTAATTACAAAGGGAAAAATAGTAACTTTACATTGAAAAACCATGCAGACACCACCTTCCCCAAGTGATCAAAGTCCACAACACCAGTAATGGACCAACTCAGCATCCCGTGCCTCCTGATAATGATGTACCCAGGAAGGACACAGCACCACTCAGGCTACATGCCTGCCCAATTGCCTAACCGGCATAGAATGGTGACAGAGTACCAGAAAAATTCACTGTGCAGGGGCAGTCTATGCAATAACTGGCCTGTGCCCAAGTACATCAAGATCATGAAAGGGACAAGTAACTGCATTCAGGATTTTCCTTTCCTATGAACAAAATCATCAGGATAACTGGCAAAATCTAAATTGGGTTTGTATAGTGTTGCATGGTGATTTCCAGATACGTAATAGGATGCTCTTACTTCTAAAACTACATGCCAGGGTACTTAGGAATATGGGGTGTCATAATGGCAACTTGTTCTCAAATGGTTCGAAAAAGGGGGAAAAATCTGGTGTGTTGAGTAAGGGGTGTATAGAGAAAAAGAGAGCATGATGGAGAGAGGGAGGAAGGGGGAGAAAGAATTATAAAGCAAATATGTAAAAATGTTCATATTTTTGGAATCTGGGGGAAGAGTATACAGGATTTCTTTGCACTATTCTTGCAACTTTTCTGTAAGTCTGAAATTATGTCACCAAAAAAAGTAGGAAAAAAAGGAGAGAGAAAGAAAAAGGAATGTCAAAGGGTCAGGTAACTTAGTCCTGCCACCGTTTGCTGTTTTTCAATTTGTCTCTGAAAGAGAGACCATTCTTCAGCATTTAATCATCCCCTGAGAAGGGAGATTCATCTGCATTTCAAATGCCAAACTCCTCAGTTTTCTCTGTGGTGACAAGAGCCCTCAGAACCCTCTTAAAATCCTTCCAGCTGAAGACTTTCTCCAAGACAGGCCTCTGTGCTGCTCCTCACCTGCCCCACTGTGCTTTCTTCTTTACACCAAGCACCCTCAGAGAGCCCAGGGTGGGTGAGGCCATTCGAGCCTTTAAGGAACTAGGTCTTTTGCACAGCTTTCCTGGTGGGTTGATGGCCAGGACTCATTGACCCTGCTTCTCCCTAGGGCTTCTTCCTGTGGCTACCATGCTGGTTTGCTCATCCAAAGGGCACTGGTTCCACGGTTGCTAGTGTGGGCCTTCATGTGTGTTGAAGCCCATTTCAACTTCAGAAGTGGAATCCCTTAAGAGCGACAAAGGGGTAGAAGGTAGGGAGCAGGGGCATTTCCCTGCCAAGCTTTCCACAGGTCACCTTGGTAGAGACACACGGGTTGCAGGCCTTCACTGCTGGGGCATTCCAGAGTTCAAGTCCAAGCCCACTTCCCTGTCTGAGTGGCATCCCCGACAACCATGTTCAACTTTTGGAAAACTGGATATACAGCCCTCCCTCAGGAGTCACAGGGTATTTGTTCTAGGACCCCTGAGTAAACCAAAATCCATGGATGCGCAAGCCCTGTGTATAAAATGGTATTGCCCTCCATATCCACGGGTTCTGCATCTGAGAATTCAAACCACCACAGAATAAAGTTCCATTTATAGCTAGTTGAATCTGTGGATGTGCAGCCTGAAGCTATGGAGGGCCAACTGTATACACTTGGATCTAGAAAACCATGGGCATACCTGCCAAGGATGTCAATCTGTGAGACCTAGCCAATGTTTCAGAAGATTGAGATCTACTTTAATTTTTCACTGTTATTCATGAACTACCACTCCAGCGAGTTCAAACTGGCATTTCCTTGGGCAGAAGTAGTGGTAATTTATATTCTAAAGGGACTTTTAGAAGTAGGTTCTCTTGCGGTATTTAAAGTATAATTTTAAAATTAGGTTTACATGTAATATTGAATACATACATTACTGGGTAAACAGATGATTTCACTTGTTTCTGAACAAGTTCACAGAAAAAATGACAAAGTGTACTGAAAATATCAGGGCAATGGGGGACATATAAATAACTGCAGATATTTTCGATCTAAAGCGACTTTTTTTTTTTTTTACCTTTTTCTAAGTCATGCAAAATGGGTACAATCCTTGTATTCCAAAATACTTCATCTACTTCTATTTCTGTATTCTTTTCTTGCAAGTCAGCTTTTGAGTCTGCAACAGAAAAACAGAACAAGAGAAAGAGCTGTGAAAAAGGAGTTACAACTCGAGCACTGCCAATGAGACTTCGTTATCCATCCCTAAAATTAATAAACTCTGGAGTTATATTACACTTTGCCCCCCCAACCCAACTAATTCTAATGAGAATGACATGTCTTCTAATCAAATCAAACTCAGTAAAAATCATGTAAAGAAATCATAACTTTAAACTCTGATTGGGACAGTGCATCAAGTCGTCAGCTTTGTAAGTGTTGAGACTACTGTCAGTGAGGCAGTCTGGAGTTTTGGCTTGTTTGTTTTTTCTTTTTAAACATATCCCTCTATAACATAAAATAAATAGAAAACTGTAGATATGTAAAGAACAAGGATTTTGAAAATGTTTTAATGGAAATTTTCTGAGAGGGAGACCTGCAGGGACTTTCTCTCCTGCAGAAAATAAAATGTTCATATTATTGTGAGGCCAGTGCTTCTCACACCAGTGGTTTTGTGTGGGGCAACAGGAAGCCTGAGCTCTGGGTGCTGACAGACCTCAGTTCAAATCCCAACTCTATTACTGACGCACTGGGTGACGGGGGTCTGGTTTCTTATCCTTTCTGAGCCTCATCAGCAAAACAGAGATTAAAATATTTGCCTTCAGGGTTATGAGAATTCAAAGACACGATGTAAGCAAAGCTCTGAGCCCAGTGCCTAGGATCTAAAAGCACTCAGTCTGCACGGTTTCACTTCCCAGGTTAAAAAAAAACCAATAAACAGGTCATCCCTGTCTGAAGTGTATCAGGCTGTGCGTTATCACCAGATCACCGAGACAGAGGCTGCCTGAGGAGGCAGCTGTGGACAAGTCAGGACTCCCACAGCCAGTGTACCTTAGATCCAGCAGGTCTGCATTTCATTTTTGTCACAACACTCTCCAGAGGTCCCCACATTGTCACTATTTTCCAGATGAAGACAGTGGGGCTCAGGGTTATTAAGTAACCTGGCCAAGGTCACAGAGCTCCACAGCATTACACTTGACCTCTTCGGGGGCCATTTTGCCCTGAAGCAAATTGGCAAACTAAAAGATAACTTCAGGGAGACATGTAAATCGTATTAGAAACTGCAAATCATGATTACATTTCACACAGGCAAGATCTCAAGGTCTAAAACAAAGACTGTCCAGCCAAAGGGGGAGCTGCCAAGCCAGACACTCAGAAGCAGTGCTAGAGACACAATCCATGGCCTTCCTTCTCTGAAGGCCTCGCCCTGAGGCCCTCGGGCTTTCCAGGTGACATGAGTGGTAAAGAATCTGCCTGCTAATGTAGGAGACCTAAGAGATGCAGGTTCGATCCCTGGGTCAGGAAGATCCCTTGGAGGAGGGCATGACAATCCACTCCAGTATTCTTGCCTGGAGAAACCCATGGACAGAGGGGCCTGGTGGGCTATAGCCCATGGGTCACAAACAGCTGGACATGACTAAAGCGAGTTAGCACAGGTACGCACGGTGCTTACACTGCTTTATGTATCACTGCCAGCACGGTCTCCTGAGGCAGCACCCTGCAGCAAAACATGTGACTATAACACACTAAAGAAATAAAAACGAGAACTGGACTCCCAGCAGTGCAGGTCAGGCAGTCACTAAATGCGTTTGTACAGTATCTCAGCTCTCAGAGCTCCCGAGGTTTACGAACTGCAGGAAAAGAATTGCAGACCACCACCTCCATCTTCTGGCTCATTACTCTTACAAATCTTCTCTGACACTGATAAATCACGGATACGGATCCTAAAAGTAAACACGACTATTCAAGCTGTATAAACAACATAGTTGCTCATATTCCCAGGTGTCGGACACACTCAAAGTCCAAAGAGAAATAAAATCAACATATATATCAAGGCAAGGGGAAAACCCAGAGATAAGCAGCCAGACAAATAATAGACAACTATTCATGACAAACTTAAAGTTATTAGAAATACAGACTTCAATGAGTCCAAATTTCACTGATTTCAGTTGAAATTAGTTTTTTTTACCTTCTATGCAGCATGCTCTCTTTAGCAGAACCACTCTGTGAGGAACCACAATTATCAAACCGTTTGTCAGGACAAACAAAATTGATAACGTGTTCACCCCAGGAAGAGCTGAATTACAGGGGTGAGCCAGAAATCACAGAGCAGTTTGTTTAACCTTTGGAAAGGAAAGGCCTTCACAGGCCCTTCCAAATGTTTCTGAGACTTGTTTCTTCTCAGAACAGAAGTTAGCCAGACACTGTGGCGTAAGAGTTTGCTTTCAACCCTCTCCTAGGAACCCCCGTGTGAGCTGGGGTGTCCAGCCATGGCCTTTCCCCTCATGCACCTCCTCCAACTCTGCTGTCCAAAGGAATCCCATTTTATACACTAACCCAGCTCCTACCCTAGAAACGGAAACCTGGAGTCATGTGATCACTTTTTAAGATCCCCAGATGATAAATAAATACGGTTTGTCTCAGTCTTGGGCAACAACCTAACATTCTAGAGAGCACTTTCATCTAGGTTCACAGTTTGCTAAATATAAAAATTATGATTCAACAGGAAATTGGGTAAGTCAAGCAGAAATTTCAGCATGTTTTTTGAAGATTTTGCTGTCTCAGTGGTTATAGTCTTCACCACAGCTTTGAGTTCGGGACACAAAAAACTTGACACAATGTTTATTGGCTGCTGTTTTTAGCATGCACATGTAAGATGCTTAGCAACAATGCTGACTGGGAAATCAGTCTATCTAAGATTTTCCTGACTACTACAGAAATTCCTGCTGGTCACAAAAGTCATTTTATTGATAAGAAACTAGTTTGGAAGATAAGAAAATATCTTTTGAATTATTAGCTTGGTTTCATGAAAGTTCCTGTGCACCAAAAAAGTAACATGAAGAAGGTAATGAACACCTGCGTATCCACAAATAGTTTGGTCAAATATTAACTGTATTTTCATTCTCTTCATTTCAAAGAAATAAACATTACAGATATTGTTAATGCCCTCTGTGTGCCTCCCCCAATCATCCCCCTCCCCAAGTGTTACCACCACGCTAAACTGAATGGTTATTTTTATCACATTTACCACATATATCTGTATCCATAACAACACATGCCTTTGTTTTTGCAGCTTAATTTTTTCATGTGATGTTATGTTTATACTCATTTCATTCAATATTATAAATGTACTCCAGTTCATTTTTCTGTTATATTCCATTGCACAAATACATTCTGTAGCATTTCTAGCCTGTGATTTATATTGTTACGTATTTTCTCAAACAGTTTAAAGCCTCAAAGGGCTGGTTTGATGTAGCTAATACAGTGTCATTTAAGTAAGCCATGATTTTGACTCCTTTTCAATCAACTTAAGAACTGTGTGAACGTCACATTTTGCAACCTTCCAAATGCTTCTACAAAATAATTTCTGTGCAGTCATCAGTGTGGAATTATAAAATCATTTCTGTGTAGACTATAACCTGTAGATGCTTGAGGCACTGGAGTAGAGTAAGGGTGAAGTGCTAAGACTGTTGTGAAAATAATAAAAATTTATAAAAATAAATGCTGATGTGTGATCAAGCTGGATAAAGTTCCTGGAAATTTCGGAGTGAGGCCACATCAGACATCTTTAATGCAAAAGATTATCCTACAGATGGAGATGCTGAGGACAAGATGCTGGGGACCTCTAAGCATACAGGAGCCTCACCTGCTCTGATGTCCAGCTTGAGCCGGTCGGGGCTGCGGGAGCTAGAGGAGGCCCTCGGACGCCTCTTCCCCTGGTCTCTGTGAGGAAGAGGAAAACACACAGCGCTCAGCACAAAAGCCAAAGCGGTTCTCCTTCTGTGTCAACAGTAGGCTAAATGCGATTTCTGAAGAAACCACAGAGCCTTGCTTATGAAATGGAGTTTGGTGCTCTTACTACCGCATTTTAATCACCCTCTGATTTTCAGCTGAGATTTACCTTTTAAAGACAAGTCAGATTTGCCTTACAATACAAAATATGGTTACTAGAAACAACAAAATAAATCCAAAGTTTACTGCGCAAACCAAAAAAACTGATGAAGGATCTATACCACAAGAGGTCACTGTTACAATAAGAAAGAACTCCGCTGTGCTTGAATTAAAAAAGCCTAGCTTTCAGAAGACCTCTTTCTCTCACACTCAGGTGCACACGTGCTGCAGGCAAGAAAACTGTTCTGTTAGATCAGATGAACCCAGGAATCATACAGGGGGGTCAAATCTGGAACCCAGGTTTAATAATGTCCAATCCACTGCTCTTTCCACCAAATCGCTATGTCTCCAGTCAATATTTGAAAATTAATTAATATTCTACGAAAAAATTTTTAAAGAAATATTTGAAATGTTAAAAAATAAAAAGTAAATTCAGGCAGTCCCCAGATGACAAGTATTTTGTGTTTCAAATGAAAATTTTGTGGCTGGCCAACAGCAGAATTATACGCTTAGGTTTTGTTTGGAAGGTTATATATAATGTTTAAGTGGTCTATGAAGGACATAACTTCTCTTTAGCTAGAGCTGATGCTTAAAGTACTTACTTTTAAATATCTGTACAAAATTCCAAGGTAAAAAAACACAAAACACTGAGAGAATAATAGTGCAAGTTTTACAACAAAATTTCATTTTTACCATCAAATATAATATTTGCCACAAAAATCATAAAGAATGCACACACATGTGGCCATGGTCGCCCATGAGCATCTGTATGTCTGTCTGACCACTGCTCCTGCTTCCGCTGTAGTTAAGACTCCTGGTAAATGTTCAGTGCTGTGTCTTGACCCTTGGCCTTGACTGCTGCCCAAGGATTAGTTTCTCCAAATATCATTTCTTCCATAAACATTTCCTTTTTCTAAAAAACACTGGATTTAACATTTCCTCTTATCGTGCAATAGAGAAAAGATCAAGTTGCTCTTCACAGAGTCTGATTATTCAATACTCCAAAACAATTGCTTTATGTTTATACATAGCAACAAAACACAGATCTGGTAGCAAGAAGTCCTGGTCAGTCAAAGAAAGAAATGGGGATGGATCCTTTTCATCAACACTCAAGCGCAGAGATCCAAACAGAGATCTCCATGAAGACAGAAATAAAGGAAATCAATCCTATGAAAAGGCTAAATGCCAAAAGTTTGCCAGGGTGTAAGGCCAAATATGTTCCCAGACTCAGCACTCCCAGAAATAACAAGAAAATCTGAGGACCATAGAGGCAAGCCTTTCTTTTCATTATTGTCCTAAACAGCTATTGAAATCAAGCAGGATAGTTTGCATCTAAAGGCTTCCCAAGTCCCTGATCCCTCCTCCCTGAGGACATGGCCATGACAAGGCTGCCCCCCAAACACATTTGTGTGTCCCCACTTGGGGGGATGTTTAAGAAGGGTCCTTCTTATCAACCATCAAACCTTGACAGTGTTGGATCCCACTGGTTCTCAAGAAGAGCTCAGGGTTGAAAGTGAAATTGTTGGTCACTCAGTCCTGTCTGACTCTTTGCAACCCTACGGACTGTAGCCCACCAGGCTCCTCTATCCATAGTATTCTCCAGGCAAGAATATTGGCATGAGTAGCCATTCCCTCCTCCAGGAGATCTTCCCAACCCAGGGATCGAATCCAGGTCTCCTGCACTGCAGGTAGAGCACAGGTTGGCCTTGGCGTCCATTAATCCTCTGTGTGATCTTCACGATACAGGGCTTGAGGGGGTGCAGGCTCTGGATCCAAACTACCTGGTGTCAAAGGGGTTCAACCCTTGTCCGCCATGTGGCCTGTGTAAGTCACTGAACCTCTTGGCCTTGGTTTCCTTTTCTTAAAATGAGGGCTATGTTTCTACTTAACACACTGACTGCTGTGTTTGAAGAACTTTAATAAATTGTCAGGATTCTTTTGCTCTTTTGTTCTGAGTCAACAAACACTTGTCTGAGCAATCCAGTGGTGGGTGTTACTGTGATAATGAACATGTAAGGTGTTGCCCAGAAGACATTCAAAATCTGCTTCAAGGAACTAAAGAAGCTTTTATTTAAATGGAAAACTCTAATTGAGTCTCTAACCAAATACTAGAATGAGAAATTCAGTAGGTTACAAGGACAAGAAAAGTGCTGAGGATGGACTGATTACTGAGATGGAGAAGTGGACCACACGGTGGGACTAAAAGGAACAAAAGTCAAACCAACAAATGACAACACTGCTCTCAGGAGGGGAACAGCATGGGCGAAGGTAAAGAGGAGTGGGAGAAGCCGGGTGGGTGGGTGGGTGGGTGTGTGTGGGGAGTGACTGCATTGGGTCAGTAATCTAGGAATAAGTTTCTGCTGGGAGGAATTGGGGACAGCTGCTTGAAACCTTGGGTTGAATAAATAGACCCAATTTGATGGTCAATAAGGATCTGCCCTAGGTTCTTAAACAAGGAAATGCGATCTGAAGTTATGTGATGACAGCAGTATTTAGGAGACTTGGAGGGAGGTAACAACGACTAATTCTTTGAGGGTGATGGTGGGACTGGAGAAGAAGGAACAAATTCAAGAGACTCTAAGTGAAAAGTCAATAGGATTTGGTGGTTGATTCCAGGCTAAAGAAAGACGAGAAGGCAGGCGTGGAGGAACAGGACAGCAGCCGCTGTAACAGAAATGGGGAGGTGAAAGAGCAGCACAGTTTGAGGAGTAAAGCAAGTTTGTGTTTTGCTAGGTTGAGTTTCTGACGATAAATGGATCATTGGCAAAGGAGATGGGAAAATCAGGAAAGGAGCTCCATTAAAGGTCAAAGCAATACACCAGGATGAGAAGCATCAGAACAGTGGCTCCAAAACCAGAATCTCAGGACATGGCCTTGTCTCAGACAGTCAGGAGTAAAGAACAGAAAGGAGAAAGGAGTCCAAAGGAAGGAGAGAGAGAAAATATGCTCCCATGCGGTCCAACGCGTTAAGGAAGTGAGCATGATTAATAAGTCCAAGAAGATGAGGCTGGAGCAAGAACTGTCCAGTCTGGCGAGGATGAATCTAACAGGGTTTCTGCGGCACGGTACAGCGTGTGTCTCACAAAGCGTGTGAAGCAGGGAAGGAGGCATCCAGAAAAGAAAATTCCCTCTTTGCTAAAGAAGAAAAGACTAGATGGCCTTGTGCTCAAAGGAGAACCGTCTCGCGGTAACTTCTGCCCACTGATCTTGGTTCTCCTAATGAAGCAAATCTTCATCCTTCTTCCTCTTGACAATCCTTCAGATATTCAGAGTATGTCATGGTCACCACATCAATTCATCTCCTATGGCTTAAATCTTATGGTTCTGCGACTTCTTCGGGTAAGTTTTTAACCGAAGCTTTGGTTTCCCTATCTGATATATGTGAAAGTGGAAAGTCAAAGCGTTAGTCTCTCAGTCATGTCCAACTCTTTGTGACCCCATAGACTGTAGCCCACCAGGATCCTCTGTCCATGGAATTCTCCAGGCAAGAATACGGGAGTGGGTTGCCATTTCCTTCTCCAGGGGGGGTCTTCCTGACTCAGGGACTGAACCCAGGTTTCCTGCATTGCAGGCAGATTCTTTACCATCTGAGCCACCAGGGAATATATGAGTGGGTGGTAAACGATAGTGCCCCCTCAAAGTAAGATCGTTGTGAGGACTAAATGATGTGGTGTGGAATCGCTTAGCACAGCTCTGGCACATAACAAGTACTCAGTAAGTTTTTCCTGTTATCATGGCTGTATCAGTGATGTCATTAACAGACTTCAGTCCTTTCATCTGTTCCTCATGTGATACGGTTTCAAATCACTCTACCAGCCTGTTCAGTTACTCCGAGTGTTAGTTTGTCAGGATTCCTGTTAAAGTCTGCAACCCAGTGTTGAGCTAAAGGTGTGGCTTGAGGAGCAAAGAGAAGAGATTCTAAATGATGCAGCCTAAAATTGCATGAACAGTTTTGGTGGTGACATCATGTCTTGTCTTGTCTTCCATATGCAGCTAAAGGCAGATTTCCCCATCTACACTGGACTCCTTCTCATTAAATTTCACAGTTATACTTGGCAAAGAGTTCCTGCCTATTAGATGTTTCTAGATCTTGATTCAGTCATCCAGTATAATTGTTCTTCTTCTCAGCTTTCTGTTTCATGCTGTTAAAGACCATAATTAGATTTTTTGGAATATCTTCTGATATACCAAGAATAAAACAATTCCAGAAAATATCCTTAAAGCTCTTTTGTGAAATCCTTCTTAAAGCCAGAATAAGGCCATTTCACTGGGATATCTTCATCTACGAATAACAGAAACCTAATTCTGATACATGGAATTAATTGGCTCATGTAACCAATTGGCTCAGGGGTAGGTTTCAGGGGTGTGATCAGGGCTTTGGCTCTTTCCATCTGTAGTTCTCTCAACTCTGCCCTTCCTCTGGTTTCACCTGTAATCAGGTTAGAGTCCTGAAGAAAGCAGAGTGGGAAAGGCATTCCCAGGCCCCTCCTCTGCAGCCCACGTTTTAAAGCAAAAACAAGGTTCTCTCTTCCCAATCACTAACAAGTCCCACCTTCTATTCTGAACCACCAAACTAAGCTCTGTAGACAAGGTAATGCCACATCCTGCCTGGGTTACTACTGCTCATCCATGCATCAGTCATGTTGGCAACATCTACTTCTGGACCATTTATATTCCAAAGAAAGAAAAGTATATTTCTTTAAAGGTCTTCTAAAACTCACATTTTGCTACAACTCAGACAATTCTTCCCATTACTATGACTACGGTTCTTTAGGCAGGGGTCAATAAGCTTCTTCTTAAAGAGCCAGACAATATGTATTTTATACTTTGTA